AAATAGAATATGAAATATATTACATATATTCCTATAATAATTTTTAAAAATTTTTTTGTGTTTATTGATCTCTTCCCAAATGAAGAAGATTTCAGAGTTAACAATTTGAGAAAAAATAATGTATTTAGTAATAAAGGTTAAGAGGATCACATTTCCATTAACTACATTCTAACAATCTTCTTAAGGAATTCAGAAATTGATAGAAAATAATCTAGAAAAATGGTTCAGCCTTGGGAATTTTATATGGACTACACAAAGAACTCTTTTAATACCAGAGTACTTTCCAATTAAACAAGGATAAAAACTTAAAAAACAAAACAGTAATGAAAACAAACAAGTGGAGTGATGTTTAATATCATTAGCCATGAAGAAAATGCAAATTAAAAACAATGTGATGCCACTATCATTCAGTCTACCAAAATAAATTAAAAACAAAGACAATACCAAATATTGTTAAGGATGTGAAGCAACTGGATTCCATTCTGCTGGAAGGCATGTCGACCAGCATAGACAGAACACAGTCTATATGACAATTTCTACCAAGTTAAACACACAATTATCCATTTGTCTTTTCACTCAGCAATTATGCTCAATTACATAGCTATGCACTACAAATATTATACAATTCAAAGACAAAGAAACAAAAATATTGCTGCTAATAACAACACAATATGGAAAAAATCTCACAGTTTATGTTCAGTGAAAGAAAACAAACTCAAACAGTAAATTCTGCAGAATTCCACTCACATGATGGAAGCTGATACAAAAAGACAAGTACCACATGTTCTCTTTCATAAGTGGAAGCTAAAATAATGTTGAGTTGAATATAGAATAGGCACTACTAAAGGTTGGGAAGAATGGAGGAAAGATGGATAAAAAGAGGTTTGATAAAAGAGACCAAAGTATGATTAAATAGAAGAAATGAGTTCTAATATAACCCACCATAGGGGAGGACTATAGTTTACAATAAATTATTATATAATTTATGATCTTGAAGAGAGACAGTCAAAATCTTCAACCATAAAGAAATGACAAGGACAGAAAAATGCTAATTACTATAACTTGACCCAGCATGTGCTGTATATTTGTGTAGAAGTATTTCACTAAGCTCCATGGATATGCATGATTGTTGTGCTTCTATGTATCAATTCAAAATAAACATATTTACAAAAACTAAAAAAAAAATAATATGAACATATCTTTTCAAATTTTGATGAAGCCTGTTTGTCTTACTCTTACTATATAAATAATGCTTTTGTGTCCTGGAAAAGAAACTTTGAAGTTTTAGTTTTGCAAATATTTCCCTTATATTTTATATGCTACTTCTTTATTTTTCTGTGATGGATTTTATTGTAATTTTTTATCATGTGACATAATCAGTAACAAAGTTTTTATTTTTATAAAATACACTGCAGATTATTCAAGCATTACCAACAAATTAAGGATCATTATATCTTGTGAACAATTTGTTTATGCTTAGCTTTTAAAGAAAGTACAAAGTAATCTTCATTCTTGGGTTTTTTTCAATGCATATGCTTTTTAACTTTGAGAAATATTCAAGTTAACATTTTTATTCCCACAACTTTTTAAGAAAAGAATTAAATATTGTTTAATTGAAAAGCATTGGTATTCATTATATTTAAAATGTTGATATCTCAATAGAATGATCATCTGAATACTGGAGAAGGCTGTTTGTTACAGTACTAGCCCCAGTGAAATTATTAATAATTACTTGAGCCACAGACATTAGAGATTTTGCACATACACACATGAGCACACATTCACCAACATTGCTCTATCTGCAAGCTCCAAATCAAAACTTGTGGTACGAAACTAATTGGAATTTTGGTTTCTGGACCAACTTCACAAAATGTCAAGGAATATCTCAAGTTCTCTTCATAAATTTCTTTTTCTTTTTTGGTTTTTGAGAAATCTATTTTATTGTCTGAATATGAATGTGATTCAACAATAATCATGTCTCTCGGCTCTTTAAAGACTCATTAAACAATACTTCCATTGAGACCATACATTGCCGAAATTCAACAATATTTGAAATGTCCACCTTGCACTCACATTATGAGGGCCTTTGCAATAAACTCTTAACTGCCTCCAAACAATGACTGGTAGGACTTTATTAGAAAGTTACTTGAGACTACTGCCAAACACTTTTCCTTTAAAGATAACTGTGGTTCTGAATTTTAGTTAAAATTGCTTCTGAGAAGACATAACATTATTCCAAAATCTGAAATACCCATGATGTCATAGACCAAGAACATTTCAGTAGAAAGGCACATGCAGACAAAGCTTTTCTCATCAAACGTTCAAGAACATGTTTCAGGGCATCCCTGAAGGTATAAATTGCCCACATAAGATGTTTCTGCCATGACCTGTGGACTACATTGGATCCTCCTGAGAAAGTCTCCTGACTCCGCTGCCAAATGTGTTCCTCTTTATGATCAGTTACTACAGGTTGCTTAATAAATAGCACCTTTACTGTTCGAAGGTAAGAGTGGGGCCTGTGTCTGGAAACAACTATATTGCATTTGGTCAATTGTCATATTTGTAAAGGGAGAAGATAAGTCCACTCAATAGATAGAAAAAATGATGGTGTTGCTGATCAATGGGTAATGATAATAATAAAGGAGTGTGAATTTATACCCATCTTGTGCATTTAGCCAATGAACTGGAAAAAGGTTCAAAATAACTGGGAGATAAAAAGGAATCGCAATGTAGAACATAACTTAAAAATATTTATGCATTCAGAGAAGAAGAAAAATAAGTAATTCTGAATTAATTGCAGGGAATTAGACCAGTAGATATCGTCATTTTTAATTTTTTTTACTGAAATGGTCCCCTTGGGTAGACATAATGCAAGTTCATAAAGTCATTCAAGTGGTGAAACAATAAGCAGAAAAAATATGTGCATTGTTTTCTATACCACTTTCTTCCACAATAAATAAGTTTTTTTAACAATTCTTTTTCAATAGAAATAGAGATGCAGCTATGTGTAATCTTATCATGCAAGTCAGGTTGATCCATAAATGGCAAATAAATAATACTTACCCACCTTTTAGTATGTCAGATAGATAATTTAGAGTTTAAACATAAACTTTATTGATTCTTAATTTGAATTTGTTTATTTGGTATCTGAAGAAGTTGCTATATTATTACTAGTATTCTTTAAGTGAACTATTATTTTAATTTGAATCCCTAGGTATATCAGTTGATGAAGCAATCCATTTTGTGACATGTACACCACAACTCTGGGCTAAGATTAACCAACATACACAATGGGTTTATCATTTGCCTACAACATACACATCAGTGGACTGATTTCTTGCTAAAAATAATTGTAATCCCTGATTGCAAAATTGAGGGTTCATAAGACTGAAGAAGTGATTTACATGTTGGAACAAATGTATGTAAAAGTGAAGAGATTACCATTGGATTAAGAGAAATTTACATCCAGGTTTTTCACTTCTTCTTTAAGTTTATGAGTTCCTAAAGAAGTCTTGTTCACCAAATATGACATCATGGCCATATCTTCAAATGTTGCTTTGAAAAAGAGATCCATGCCTATGGCCATACCACCCTGATCTCCTCTGAAAAAGAGATGTACATATAACTGCTGTCAGTCTAGTTGCAAAGTATATTGGGATATATATTGTAACTTTGGCACTTTTGGAGTTTCCTATAGAATTTTACATAATGGCCAAATGATTGCTGCTATTTGGAAATAAAATATGTGCTTCATGTCTTACCACTGAACAGAAGTGATTGTTCAGAACAAAATATGTGCATTGTTTTCTATCTTTGTGAAAAACCATCAGTTCACTGGTTTCTGGGATTTAAGCCAGGAGGATGGTGATATTCAAATAATGTTGTTCCCCTATTGTGATATTTATTATTCAATTAATTTTTTGATGCTTCCATCTCCTATTTGCAAGAGCAATAAGAATCCCTTAATTGCTTTGCATTGCACATAGATCTCCTTTGACTATTCTTAGAAAACAAATTTAATTAGGAATGTTAAAAAATACTCGAAAGTAATTTTACCTTATGATTTTTAGTCACTACTAAATTAGAGGTCAAAACAGTAGTCAAGATTATAAAATAAGCAAAACTCAAGTGTTTGTATCAAATCCTTTTAAAATTCATTTTATAGCTAATAGGTTTTTAATGCATTTTTCACATTTATTATATAGATTAATTCTGATTACAATGTATAAAATTCAAAATTGTTTAAAACAAGTCTACATTCAATTAATATTTTATATGCAGCCTTGTTAACAAATAGAGTCAATATTTGTAGCCTTAACTTCTTTTAACTGAATTTTTTCATAACTGTATTGCTTGCATATTGATCATTGTGTATCTGAGCTGAACTCTTTATGTTTTGTTTGTTTTAGTTGAAACATGAACAAATGATGATATATCTTATCAAAAGATAAGATTAATATAAGTAGGTGGCATCATTACTTCAATGTCTTAATAGCAGAAATATCTCTTAGTGATATAGCCCATTTTAGAGACTGGATTCACAATGGTATAATTAAATATACAATCAAGAATTCAGTCTGGATGGGAACATGATTGTGGAACCTTTTGGTCAAGTGAAATGGCTATGTGGCAGAATAGAATGGTAACTGGAAATCAGAGGATGTAGATTTTGTTTGAGAAAATGCAGGATACTAAATTAAAGTAACAGACTCTCAAGTCAGATTGCCTGGATCTAATCCCAGCTCTGTAACTGATCTTTTTTTGTGATCTTTGCTCTTCTGAACTTCTCTTTTTTATCTGTATTAACAGGATTAATAATATCTCCTTCTCGAAATGATTATTTTAAATAATATATTTTAATAAAATCTCTTATATTAGTCCTAATGCATAGTATTTACTTAATTTTTATTATTATTGTCATTGGTTATGAAAAGTTGAACATAACTTTAATCCTTGCAATGTTAACCTTAAAAATGACAGTAAAAATGAAGTACACACAATTAGGAATAAAACAACTATTTTATTTCCAGACTATAGTTTATCATGTTAGATGTTAACAGAATTAACCTCTTGCCTTACCAATTTTTCCTTATGTTAGGACTTCTTCTCAATTTTCTAATTAATTGTGTTGTTCAATCCATAGTTCCTATTACTTTTTCACTCTCTCTCACTACCGAATGCTCTTGCTTTCTATTTTACTAAGCTTAAATTCTCGGGTACATTGTTTTAATCACAATTACATTTACCCACAAAGGCCATAAACAAAATAATTTTATCAAATTGGGGAAAGCACAGGTGAACAATACTCTGCTTGTTCACATCACATCTTGAGGCCTGGTATATGAGCACTGTCATTTTGAATGGCCTCCTTGGAGTTTCAATAGGACCTACTGCTGCAAGGAATCCTGTAATATCTCCCTAGACTACCAACTCTGTCACCATCTAAAAGGACTATTTAATGTCTTCTCTTTTTCAACACTCCCAACCAACATATGGTACTGTCTCTCCAGATGTTGAGAGATACCTGACCAATTGTTTTCAAAATCATAGGGTAAAGGAGTATGTTTCCCATTTGGATTTCCAAATGTATCCTGTAGAAACACAGACACAGAAGTCAGAGCATAGAGTTCAATTTGTGAATTTTGAGACTCTTTTGAATTTTTCAAGGACTTGTCATGTCTCTGACTGAGCCAGCAACATTATTATTAGTTGAAACCAAAGAATTAATGAATGTCATCCATGTATAACAAACAATCTGAAGTTTTTAGAGCTTTTCATTCCAGCAGAAGAAGTTTTTAAGAAGATGACTTTTGGCTCTAGCTTGCCTTTCCACCTTTTGCCATGTGAGGGAATAATGGCATTGCCCTCTGGAAGATGCAGAAACCAGGTGGCATCCCGGAGGTACACAGCAGCCCTCACCAGCCAACAAAATATGCAAGCAACTTGATCATTAACTCCCTGGTCTTTCAATATCTTCCAAATTTGTTTCAGTGTTAATGAGCAGAATCTCATTTGACCTCATATCCTGACACTTTTTTTCTTATTTTTCTCTTCTCATGTTTCTTATCACACCAAGTAATTCATTGCATGCTTTATTTGCCTCTGAATCCCTGTGTTTTGAATGGAGTGATCTGAGATCAGCTCATCTTCTGCCTTCAGCAGGTACCTGTCTTATGATTTCCTTTTGGACCACAATGTGAGCTGTTCTTCCTTATGAAGGCTGAGTACTGTGCAAATAGAAAGCATGGAAGAATTAATTCTTCAAAATGTGAAGTTTTACCAGTAGTAAACCAACTAGTTTCACCCATCTAGAATTATTCTTTTACATTTTCACCAACTTTGCATTAAATGAGAGTGGTATTTGTAGTAGGTTTTTGTTTATTTGTTTGTTTATCTTTCTCATTATAAATATATATAAGAACATGTAGTTCTGTTTTGTTCTTTGGATTTATAGCACATATTCAAAATCGATTGTCTTGGTTGGATCTATCAAAATCCAAAGTTTAAAGAAAGATTTAAAAGGCAAGTTGGAATCAAAACATTCAAATTCCCAGGAGGCAATTGTTTGAGTAATAGATGAATAGTTAAGGCCACCAGGTAAATGATCAATTGCATAATTCCATCTTCACCTGGTCTCATCATTATCCAAAAATGTGTAAACTCTTTAGAGCTTGTATCAATTTACCTTCAATTAAATATAAAATGTGGAGATAACATATACACAGAAATATTTATATTAACATGCAAAACATTAACATATTAATATTCATCTATAATAATAGAATACTTTTGTACTTGCAGAAATTCAAAGTAAAATAATAGGCATTTTATTGAGAAATATTCTCAATATATAATCATTAAAATTTTCATTGAAACATGTTTTCCCTATGAAGAGTTCTTAGGTAAGGAAAATTTGATTATAGAAACTTGAAAGGTGAGCTTACGGAGAAGCATATCCATAAATGTCATCTATTTATTGATGTATATGCTGATGCTAGAAGAGATTTCTTGAAGTTTATGCATCTGGTCCCAATCCTTTCATTAGAACAATGGCATTCTTCCTCTCTGCCTTATAACCTTCATAAAATTCAGTTCAACTGGAAAACTGTCACCCAGAAAAGAATTTTCGAAACTGTAGTTACTTCATTGCTCTTTAGATCACAGAACAAACTTTAGATGTGGAAGATAATAATGAAAATAACAAAACAAGCAAATTATCTTTCAAGGCTTTTAATCTCATAGACTTGCTATCAAGGAACCAGTCTTTTTGAGAAGTGCTGCCTTATAGATCCTTGGAACTGTGCTTAGCTTCCATCTTTGCCACTGTTACTACTCCACTGATGTTTATGTTTTCTGGGGCTGCACAATGAGAAAATAAAACCAACTAGTTATATCTTTGGGCAAGTAGTTCTTCCCCCATATGCCTCTAACATAGCACTCTTTGACTCTGAATTGCCCCATCACTTTTTCTTATAAACCTAGCATTAGGACCAGTAGCCAATTTGTGGTTCTTCTCTTTTAGTTGTAACTTTGGTCATTCTAACTGAAACATGCCCATGCCAATACTGTAAGCAATGTGGAGATGGTCTCCATTTATTACGTGGGCCCTATAAATTCTGACCTTAATAAGGAACACATTTTTTTGTATACAGAAATATTAACTTAGTTCTGACAATTTTATCAGTTCTAGGAATAGAGCAAGGAATCATGATTATTATTTTTTTTTTTGCAATAACTTTAAGGACCTTCCTGTTCCTCCAGTTTTGCCTTCTGATGATTATGTATATTAATCAGAACTTTCTTTTTTACTCCTAAGGAACCTTGAAAGAGTATTTGCTAGTTTTATGGATTCTTGTAGTTATACAATACCATCTAGTATCTATTGATCCAGAGATGCATCAGTGCATCACTTTTAACAAATTAAACCTTGTGACCATCTTTTTTTTATCATCAGTTCTATTCTGCAAAAGAGAGCCAACATTCATTTCATTTCTTTTTTTTTTTTTTATGATGTTGGTGACCCTGAGTAGGGTCATTTTATAGTGCATAGTATTGTACCAGTAGTCCACTTAATAATGTTTTGCATATAGCCCTTGCTGCTCTGCCACAGCAATTTCTTTTTTTAAATGGATGTGGTTCTCTTTTTCTCTTCCTCTTCCTTCCTAATCTCTCCCTCTCCCTAATCTCAGGGATAAAATGATTATCTTTCTTCCCCATCCTAGGCAGAGTTATCTGTCCCTGTGTACATACCCACCATAGGAACAAAGTATTCCAAACTTTGGGAATGGTACTAGAAGATCTCAGAAATAACTATCTCCCAAATTACCAATTGAATTACAACTCCAGAAAGGGAGCATGTGGAATGGAGCCTTTGAGTCACCTCTTCAAAAGCACCCTCTTCCTGCTGATGGGAAGAATCACAGCTTTTGGGACAGGAGTGTTCTGTGTTTCTCCTTTGCTAGCAAAGTAATAAACCTTTCTTTTCCTTTTTCTCAAAACCATGTCCTCATTATTGGGTTGGCATCAGGAACAAGGACTGAGCTTTCGGCAACAGTATGTCCTGTGAAACTATGCAGTAAACTACACTGTGCTTCTAAGCTATTGTTTAGTAGCCTAGTTATACTAAATGCAATTTTTCTTTATAATATTTTAAATTTATGATAGGTTTATTAGGACTTAACATTATCATAAGTTTAGTAGCATCTGTATATGTATCTTCAAATGAATGGTTGAATTCTTCTACATATTTAAATAGTTTTATTGTCCAGTTGTTTTAAACTACATTTACATGTACACACAGATGTATTCCAAATTTTCAAAATAAAGCCAAGAACAACTTTTAAAAAAAACTAATAAGAGACACACTTGTGAGACCAGGAAACATTTTTTTCTCCTGTTTTGTTAATATATAATAAAGATGAGAACAAATTATTTATTCATAGGTACATACAAAAACCAGTTTGAAAACTTATTTTACCCAATCACCAACCCATTACTGATCTTGCCACAACTATTTGCAAATTACTAAATAAGCTACATAAGGAAACTTTATTCCTGTTCTGCAAAATCAAGGAATTTTGATAGTTCCTTAGATATGAAAAATTTACTTCATGTAGGAGAAACACATCTGCATAGATTAACATTTTACACTCCATTAAAAGTTATCATGTTGTTAGGAAAAGTACTTCATTTTTATATAACACAAAAATGTGACCATTTTTCCTAAAAATAAATTTTAAATTATTTATCTTATTAACATGATTAATTATAATGTAATTAAATATTAAAGTTCATTGAAATTTATGAAAAAACACTTGTGGGCAGATCTAGATATAAAAAGTCCAATTATTTCAGCTTTTAGCGTGACATTTAAAGAAAGTAACCTATGTATCAAAAAGAACTGAAATAGGAGTGGATTAAAAAATATGCCTATAAAGAATTAGAATTCCTTTTTCCTTCCATTAATCTAATTCAGTTTTATTGGGCAGAGTTCTCTAATAAATGTGTCTGTGCACTGTGGAAATGTCAATGAATGTGATAAGGAACTTCTTTGGAGATTTATCATAGAATGTAATTTTCAAATTTTACATTTTGTTGCACTGTGCAGTGTCACAGATAAAAATGCTTTTGAAATTGCTGTTTCTTAGATGATGCTGAAAAACTTGAAAGGTCATGAATCTCCCCTCTGTGACTGTTAGATAACAAGCATGGTAATATCTTACAATTAAACCACTGCATAAGATCATCTCTAATGTTAACACACTTCTTCTTTTCTTTTTGTTCCAGGATGTTTGAATTCATATGGCTCATTTGATATAAATGTTTGCTTAAAAGCATATGATTATATGAAAGCATAAGATTAAAGTGAGTATGGATAAATCAATTCATTTAATCTAATATCAGATTGTCTTATAGTGTAAAAACTAAGAGTTATCTGAATACAGATTTTCATACCAAGAAAAGAGGATCAATCTCCCTGTTCAAGGTACTTGATATTTCTTTGAAGACAGCAAATAAATGCATAAGTGGTATACATGATAACAGAGCTTAACACAAATATTTATTTGTGTCTAGTTACTATTCAATTCAATTGCATCATATTATAGACATACAAGTCAAAGTGAAAAAAGGACCAGAATCCTTTCTTCATTATTTAATATTTTCACCTGATCAAAATAACGATAGTGACAATGTTTAAACTTAAGTAGGTTTTGAATCTAAATATGTGAATTGAATAATGCAGAGAGACTCTGAGGTGAAAGCTTTAGTCTCCACTAGCTGATTTAAATGGTGGAATATAGAGAACATTAGCTTAGATTGCTATCAAAATGACTGTCAAGAGAAAGGTAATAATCCCACCCTTCCCCAAAAGGTGTTTAAAAAAGAACTGATTCCCTTGGGAATAACAAGACAAAAACTAAGAATCAAGCAAAGAATCAAGATAAGAGCTTGGGAACATTTTGGAAATTTTCATGAAACCTATTTCTTTAATTACTAAAGGCTATATTACATTTATAAACCCTACATTCTTTTTATTTCATCTTTACTTCTAATCTGTTAACTCATTTTTTTTTATATGCAGAGATGTCACCAGTTTAACAGAACTGGAGGGGAGAGATTACATGATAAAGGAATAGGTAAGACAACACACTGTCAAGATGGGGCCATTGAAAGTGACCTGGGATTCTGTATGGCAGCATTTTTCTATGATCATGAGGGGGTCTGCTTATCATCTGCATGGATTCCAGAATCTTGTGGCCTGGAATGGTAAGCAACCTTCAGGCATCATAAAAGGTCCAATGTCAAAAGGAAAACTACAGTATGTTCTTATTTAAGGTGGTTTTGTGGTTGAGGAAAAAAATGTTTTCTTATACCAATTAGTGTCATGAATTATAAAGCATCTGAGATTTTGCAAGCAAACAGGTTAGTCTGCTATAGTTCCGTGAATGCTGGCAGAAAACATGAGACTGCTGAACCAGTGACAAATGGTGGTTTATTTTTCAAAGGAGTATCTATAGCCATAGAATCAGCATTTTCTTATGACATTTTTCTGAGCTCCTGTTTCCTCAGAATGATGAGAGGAGGTTATGTGACACCTGACTGAACACATACTAGATTGCATTACAAAAAAAGAATTTGAGCTTAGGGAATCCTGATATTTTAAAAATGGACTTCAGAAAACCTGCATGAGCTGGACATTGAGGCAGTCATTATTAGATGGGATAATTAAAAAAATAAATGCTGCCCTTTGCTTTTGAGGGAGACACTATTTCTGGCTACCAAGCAAGGCTATTCTGTACAAAAGTATTCTTGGAATGATATTTTTGGAACCAAGTTGCTAAAACATGAGAAATCTTTGAAGAATATCTACTTCTCCTTTGTACTCTGCCTTATATCCAGTTCCAAATGTGTCCCGCCATTGATCACTTAGGTTAATATGAACAAATAGAGCATATTTCCAAATCCATTTTATAACACAACATTTAGTTATTGAAGGCAACCCTCCCTAGGGCTCAAAACAGCAGAATGTGGTAAAATGAAATACTGACCTTAAAAATGCTCTAGAGTCGAAAATTCATCAGGAGAGGAAATACCTTAGAGAGCCTCATGAGACTTTTCTTAAAGATTCTGTATTGACCATTCCCACATTTTCTGAGTCACTAATCCAGAGATATGTACAGCTATTGCATAGACTCTGCCTTGGAGCAGAAAAAGGTATCTAGAAAAGTTTTGTCTTCTGTAACAACTCTGGCCGATTAGTTGAGGCTGAATATTTTTTTTTTGATAAAAGAATATTATTGATTATTTCAATTTTAGTCAGTAAGTCCATACTTGCTTTTCAATAGTTTTCATAGTATTAAAAACCGCTTATAGTTTGGACATAAATTAGGATTCTTTATTTCTTAGGAACCTTTGTATAACTAAGGGAGACTTCATTTTGGTAAAGAACTTCATATTGACTTTAGGGTTTCATGATGTACTGGGAGTTTTGAATATTACAGGTTGCTTACTACTAAGAAGCAAGTCATAGTGCTTTTGGAAGATCAGTTAATGACTGATTCCACAGAAGAACTGTGTCCCTTAGGAAATAGTTAATAATTGGTG